AAATAATTCCAAGCCAACTTCACACATGATGCAACAAGGGGTAACAGGACAGTAGGGTGAGAGATAAGAGAATGGAGAGGGGCACCATCATTAAGATTATGTTCTTACTGAACAAGGCTAATGACAGTATGATGAAAAAATATTTTTGAATGAAATTAAAAAGGAAGAATTAATAAGTAGAAGATTTAATTAGCACACTTCTTGGAGGCATTGTGTAAGAAGTGGGTCTTGGGAGGGATTTAAGAGTCTGCAAAGCCACTATCTTCTCCTATCTCAGGAAAGGTGTTTCATGCATAGAGAGTGGCATGGAAAAAAGGCCACAGGTGATTGTGGACTGTTTCCTATTATAGGGAGATTGATGCTGCTGCAATCTATGCAGCAGGGATCAATTTAGCGGGTCTAGTGAAGACCCGCTAAATCGATGGCAGAGCGCTCTCCAGTCAAGCCCGGTACTCTGGCTCTATGAGAAGAGTAAGGGAAGTTGACCAGAGAGCATCTCCTGTCGACTCAGCGCATTGAAGATACTGGGGTAAGTCGACCTAAGCTACGTTAGTCACTAGCTCGAGTTAGCGTAACTTAGGTCAGCTTACCCCTGTAGTGAAGACAAGCCCTGTGAAACAAGTAGAGAAATAGGGTATAAAGGATGGCAGTATCATTGACAATGCAGAGTTGGGCACAGGGTGAGATACCATATATATTCGATCATAAGCCGGTTCATTTATAAGCCAACCCCCGCAAGATGGATAAGTAAAAATGGAAATTTTTTATGACCCATTCAAAAGCCGACTCTATAATTCAGGGGTCGGCAAACTTTGGCTCCTGGGCCATCAGGATAAGCTGCTGGCGGGCCAAGATGGTTTGTTTACCTCGAGCGTCTGCAGGCACGGAGGTAAACCTAAGTAAACAAAGTGTCCCGGCATGCCAGCTGCTTACCCTGACGGGCTGGGACAGCAACTGGTGGGGAAATTTTTTGGGGGGGAGAAGCTGGGAGTCAGCGGACTAACCCCTGTGACCACCCCCCACATGACCCCACCCCTAGATCGGACCCCTACACTCTCCCCAATCCCCATCCTATCCCTTCCCACCTTATCTGGGGTGGGTCAGGGGAGGATGTCTCTGACCTGGCTGGAGCTGCTCCGCCAGGCTGGGCGGCGCGGCCGCAGCCTGCTCCGGCGGGCCGTGCCGGGTGGTGCGGCCGCAGCCTGCTCTGGTGGATGGGGCCAAGCGGCAAGGCTGCTGCCTGCCAGCCCTGGAGCTGCAGCTGCTTCGGAGGCTGGGGGGAGAGCAGCGTGGCCAGAATCAGAGAGACTCTGGCCCCACCTCTTCCCTTCTCTCTCTGCTGGCTGTGCTGCCTCTCCTTGCCCCCTCTGTTGGGGGAGGGGCTGTGTTCCACCTCTCCCTCTCTATACCCGTTCATAAGCCGACCCCCTTCTCTGGTGCTTCCCTTTTTTACTAAAAAAATTCGGCTTATGAACGAGTAGATAAAGTAAACAAATATTGTTTCTTTTAGTCTTTGTGTAATGGATCCTGTCCTTAGGCATATTCAGTGCACGATTAAGAGTAATTCCTGAGAAAATGTTGAGTAAAGCAATACCTTTGCAGCATTGGGCATATTTTAGCCTCTCCTTGCAGCCTGTTCATTCTGTCAAATGGGGTTAAAGAAGCCACTGAATAGCTGGCCTGATCCTCTGCTTACTGTCGCCTGTATTTGATGGCCAGAGAAGAGTTCAGGAAATTATCTCATGCAGAATTGGCTTGGAATTGAATTCATAATACGATTTGCAACTGAACTATACAGTGACTCATTTCATATGTACCTCACAGGTTTCTCTTAGCCAAAACATCCTGGGCCAAAATCTTCATCAAGAAAATTGTGTGTTATGCCTAATGGGGATAAAAAGGCACCTTGACTCCAAGCAGCACTGCTGTTGTCTCTTCAAGTCCGTTTTATAACATTCTTTCATTTTTACTCCTCCCCCCCCCCCCCCATTATGATGATTTTTCTTTTGCCATTGCGAAATGGTCCTAAACGAAGAGTGTAACAGAGTTAGATAGGTTGGGCCAGATCCTGGCATTCTGGGCCTCTGAGGATTTGTTCTATGTGGGGGAATCATTAAGAAGTGTAGGGCTACCAGAGACTTTTTTACCACCATGTCTTTAGGCTTCCTGCAAGTGGATTTAGACAACATGGTTTAAAAAGCAAACAAACCAAAACCCACTGCTTGTCTCAGTAATGCTCCCACTGTATACATTTTTTTTTAAAGCTCAGGTTAGAAACATTCCATACACAGAATTCCCACTGACTTCAATGGGAGCTCTGAGCTTGGAATACTCTACCAGATTAAACTCTAAAGCCTCTGAAAATTGGAATTTTATAATTGAAATAGCTGAATAGCCATTATAGCGATCTTTTTATTTTTATATATATATATATAATTAGATTTAAAATAAGTGTCTCTCTTAAGAGTTTATGTTAAAAGCCGTCTCCTTGTTCATCCCCTGTTGATAACAGATTAACCAGTCTTTCAAATATGTGTGGTACTTAGTAGGCTGGGCATTATGAGTTCAAGATAATTCCAGGCTAACTATGAACCTTTTGTTATTAAATAGATCCTTCAAATTCAAATTAAAACCCTACACAGTTCATATCCTCCAGTTCAAATCTGCAGGTGGCTGATATTTTCCTTAATTGCATTAGAAATTTAGTTTTAATAACACTTAATGTTATATTATCTTTTTTTATTATCTAATATCAAAATAATGGATATTCAGAATCTACAACACTATCTTAATTTTCTCCACTGTGACTGGGTATATGCATTTTAAAAAAAAATCCTAAGTAACTAATTATTTCAAACTAATACAAAAATATGCACAAACACTAAACAAATTAAACAAAACCTACATCATTCATTGCTTCTGACAAAATAAAGTCTATCCATCTGGTAAGGATACAGAAGGATTTTCAGAGGCTTAAAATTGATGTTCCAGCTAGTAGCAAGTCTTATTATACACTTCTGCCTGTGTGACAACAAAATATCAAAATATTGAAAAATGAATTACAGTAAAATCATTAAGACAACTTTGGCTTTGTTTAGTAAGCATAAATAAATTAAGCATCAACTAAACTGTTTTTTGTTTAGCGAAGTAAGCTACAGTATAATGAACTGGAGTGGAAAAAAAGCTTGTCAGATCACTTTTAAATTGGCTAGTTACAGTCTAAACATTAAATAAATGTATATAATTATTTCCTATAATACCAAATTTGCAAACACTATTTGTAAGCTCAAAAATGTGTCTTTTTTTTTCCAACAGAAGTTGGTCCAATAAAAGATATTACTTCACCCAGCTTGTCTTTCTATTATCCTGGGACCAACAAGGCTACAACTATTTCTGAGAAACTTTACTCCATTGTGATTAATTGCTTTGTTCTTCTGGATATATACTGAAGTACTGTATAAACATGATTAATTTCATAGTGCATTTCTCTCTAAAAGGCTATTTCTCTTTATACACAAAATCTCTGGCTTTATTTTAATAAGCAAGGAAAGAAGTAAATTTCTGTTTTAAACAGTCAATATACAGCAATAGAATTAAATGTGAGAGTCCAGCATCACAACAGGGATACTATAACAGAGCCCCTATAGTTCCATACTGCTACAACCTACTATATCAAAGACCTTTTAAAATATTTTAATTACTTAAACTTTGTATTAATTTGTATAAATATTTAAAAAAACTAAACAAATAAAAGTTCTATTAGAAATGTAATTGATTCAGTATCATGAGAATAATGGCACAGGTTTCCCACAAGTTAAAATATTGTCCTAGTAAGCAGTAAAGTCACAAGAATGCTTTTTAGTTTTATTTATTCATTTGTTTTAACAAAACTGAAGTCTTAAAAATATTATCCTTGCTGATCAAAGGAAAAATATTCTGAACTCCTTCCAGTCCTCCACACACGCAGCATACATGTGAGTGCTGTACTATCTTGAGCTTGGAAATGGTTAAAATCTTAGCAATGTTAAATAGAGATTGTTTCCTTTTTTTAAAGAAAAGTTTCAAAAATGTACTTCATTATTTTAATTGCTGCACATCCTACAGTTCTATAATCCAGAGTGACTTTGTGTTTTGTTTTTTAGAAATACCACAAAATATTTTTTAATTTGTCATATATATTAAAAGGTCAGATTTGCTTTGATGTAGACCGCCAAAAGATAAATGGACAAGTGACTATCATTTCCCGTTTAAAGAAAAAAGCTCAAAATCATCAACCAGACAAAATTGATAATCTTTGCTCTTTTTCACATCTCTACACACTCAAGTACCACAGAAAAATTTGTAGGCCTGATTCTCTACTGCTATGCACCTGGTATAGTCATTCACACCTATGCATAATAAGTCCATAATGTTTCCATTCCCACTTTACTTTACTTGCATTTAGAATTTTTGGGGCTCCAAGAACAACACTACCAAACTTGCTTGAACCCAGTTCTCTGCTGATGCATGCTTGCTGCATCTTTCATTTATAGTTTTAGCTTTGCTGCTGCTGTTACTGGTAAACACCCATTTGGAAGACATGGGGAACCGGTGTATACTTGAGTTCCGCCCACCGCAGTTCAAGAAAGTGTCTTCCTGCCCGTGCATGAGCCAGGAAGCACAGCTGGCCAGAAGCAAAACAGTGTAACTGACTATACGTTACGTTTATTTGTATACCTGTGATACACACACTGAAAAAAAAAGTGGGAATTTCTATACATGGAAGAGAGAGGTGTTGCTTATAGAATGGGTACCAAATTTTTGGATATGAATGTCATTGTTTTTTTTTTTTAAGTCACTCTTTACTGTTGCTAGAAGCAACCCTGGGGATTGCCTGGGATTTATAAGGTTTCCAGACTGTACTGCTGTCAGCCAAAAATTCCTCTCCTAGGAGGAGCAATGGCTGACAACTTCAGGTTCTAACTTGCAGAATTTTCATTTTGTTTCTCCCCCTCCCACAGGTTTTTCTTTGGAGGGAGCAGTCAGCTGTAAGTGTTTTCTAGATGCATATTGTTTTATCATTGGAATGTCATGACCAAATGATTTCTGTTGTGGTAAATGTTCAGTAGTATTAGTTCAGACAAATATTGCTTCTGAGGAGACAGTTCATTGGAAGGCACATGCCAGCCGTGCTGCCAGTTACTGCCCACAGGGAATGAACCACTGTTTTGGAGAAGGAAATAATTCACTGCTTAGTAACTCTTCTCAAACATCTGCTAAGGCGGAACCCATTGTTACCCACAGCTATCCATACAGTCATGCCTGAACAGGAAGAGAGTGAATTGCAATAGATCTTCATCTACTGTCAGCTTAATTTATGATCTTGTGCCTATGTTGAATCAATTCTGAGACATTCCGTCAGGAGAGAGTATGGTGTGATGTCAGTGACCAGATGATACATAGGAAACTAATGTGCAGGAAAGTAGATTATTTTAATTTACCATCTCTGTGGGACTTGGTAGCAGAGAAGCTACAACAATTCTGTCCACCCGATTCTCTATAGAGTAATATCTTTTCTTTTTTCCTTCTTATGGCACTTATTTTTTTTAAAGACTTTACCAGCAGCATTTTTTCCTGGATTTTTTAAGTCTGTTTTGTGCTTCATTGAGAGAGGGAGGGGGTATTGTGAGTCAGCAGTTTTGATTCTCAAATAAAGGCATTTGAGGATAGCTGGATGTGGGATATAAAGTCACAGCAGAGCAGAGGTTCATTTGATTCAGTGGCTGAGTCAGCAAGAGCAAGTTGCATAGTTTGTCATAACTATAGACAGACTTGTGAACTTTATATCAAAGGGTTGATTTAATCCCAACAAGCTTTTTGGGGGAGTTTTTTTATTTTTTGTTTTGTTAATTTTATTTCTCTCCTCTGCTCCTGCTCCATTAAGCTGGCTCCAGGTTGTGACAAAGTTCCTGGTATGTGTGTGTTGCTTCCTTGTCTCCCCATATCTAAGGAATGTGTATGAGATTGTGAGTCATGAATGTCTTACTTCTAATCCTAGCTCTGCCACAGACTTTGTAGCCTTAAGCAACTCCATTCCATCCATTGTGCCTGCCGTCCTCATCTCTGCTATGAAAATAATATTTACCTACCTGTCGGGAGTTGTTCAAAATGTTTTACAAATCAGTTCATCTTCACATGTAAAAGTGCTGTATCATCTAAATATTATTTGTATGTAAAATATATAGTAACCCAACAGAAGGGCTATTGTGTGTATTAATTGTAACTGGTAAGTTGACCACCTATCAACTGGTTACACTAGTGATTCTCAACCTATTTACCATTATGGGCTGCTGCATATGCAGCTCTCTGTGTTGTGTGAGCCTCATCCACAGAATAGTTATACTATCCCTAAAAAGAACAGGAGTACTTGTGGCACCTTAGAGACTAACAAATTTATTAGAGCATAAGCTTTCGTGGACTACAGCCCACTTCTTCGGATGCACACCTGAAGTGGGCTGTAGTCCACGAAAGCTTATGCTCTAATAAATTTGTTAGTCTCTAAGGTGCCACAAGTACTCCTGTTCTTTTTGCGGATACAGACTAACACGGCTGCTACTCTGAAACCCGTCATTATACTATCTGTATGGCCCTGAGAATGTCACATGGGCTGCAGCTGTGTGCTAATTGGGCCACAAGTGGCCCCCGGGCTGTGGGTTGAGAACCACTGGATTACACAATTGTGTTTGCAGTAGCTGGGTGGCGCAGCTTTATAATGTATAAATATATCCACTAAGACTGGGTAGAAGCCATTGGGATACTTTTACATGAGGGATCTGAACATGGGTATCTGGAGAAGAAATGCTAATGCACTAAATCTAGTGATATATGTATGAAGGCCCATTCTGCTTTGAAATGAAAATATAGTTCTGCATCACAGAAATAGATTATTGAATACAAAACTGTTTAGGCTCTAAACAAAGGGAAAGAGAGATCAGCTGTTCAGTGAAGGTTATTTAGTTGCTAAAGGATTGGACTGTTACCAGAGTACAGAGGGCTTTATATGTTTGTTGTTAAGGATTAAACTAAATCTTTGGAAAATGGATAAAGTAGCTTGAAAAAATCCCTTGTTTGATTTTTTTTTGATTTTTTTTATTTATTTTGTATAGTGTTTGCTTTTATGTGTATTGTTGGTAACTTGGAGACTGGGGAAAAAATCAATGATTTTTTTTTAAATTGGAATTTACCTTGATTACAGGTAGGCATTATTTTTATTTTATTAATGACTAACATCATGTGAAGTGAAATTTTGCTTGTTTTTCAAGACAATTTAACCAGATTTAAAGCACCCTCAAACTTTAGGGAAATTCAGACCCAGATCTGGATCTCACCTCCATTATAAACTAAATGGTGGATTTTTCTGGTCATGTCAACTGTAAGTTAATATTTACTATTAGTACATCATGTTGTATTGTATACCATGGAAACATTGGACTGTTCTTAGTCACTCTTCACAGCTTTCTGGATATAGTACTTGCTGTAAAAAGTTTGAAAACCTGTAGCTCCCTTGTATTCCATCCTAATGAAAAGTCCCACAGAATGACTGGCAAACCGTAACATGTATTTTTACTGATGAGGGACAGTCTGTGTATCCAGAAGAATTTCCAAAGAACCCTTTAAACCTATTCAAGGGACACAGGCTGAATGCTTTAAAAAGCATTCCTTACGTGTTTTGGTAATCACTCTGTATTAGAACTGAAATAATTTTGAAAATCTAACATTTGCTTTCTCTGAATGTTTGTCTACGTCATTCAGATCATGTGACTGGCATGCAGAAGTTCTAATTAGATAGATCCACATGTGTTATGGATGCAGAAATTGTTTGTGACATGCAGTTTCTGTCAACTGATTTATATTAGATAGTTACTTGTCAGAAACTGGATCAGAATACATTAAAGATTTTTTTTTTATATAAAAGTTGATTCCAATTGCAACTGAGTAGGAATGAGTGCCACACCGAAGACATGTCTACATGGAAACACACAGGAAAGTAAAAGTGAATCAACTGAAAATGTGAAGTCAGTGCACATAAATTTAAAAATTAGTTTAACCCTAGTTTGCTGTAACTTTGAACTAAGGACATAAATGCCTGTCTAAAGTACATTGAGAGCATCCCCTTGGGGGTTTAATGCATGTACATTGACTTCACACCTTTTGATTTGCCTTAACTTTCTTGAGTGTCCCTCTGTAGACAACCCTTCACAGTAGTGTACACCTTTGACAATAAGATCATTAGTTTAATTCAAGAAGAGGCTGCAACAACAATAGTTTCCATATACTCTGCACCTTGGGATCAAATTATTTTTCTTCTTGGTATGGTTTTCCAAAGGTGAGACATGGGTAACTGTCACCACTCAAACAAAATCTGTATGAAAGCTGAAGCAAGATTTTTTTTTTTAAATGGGAAATGTGTAGCTAGCTTGAAGTAGTAACTTTATGGCTTAGCCTATGCTTAAAAGTGAGGTCAACATAACTGTGTCAGTCAAGGGTGTGAAAAATACCCCAGAGGGCCACATCTATGCCAACCTAACCGTGGTGTGGATACAGCTATGCCTATGGGAGAATGCTTCCACCAGTGTAGCTACTGTCTCTCAGGAGGTGGTCATACAATGACAAAAAACCCCTTTGTCAGAGTAGACTTTGTCTACGATGATCTCGCTATGCCAATACAGTCTCCATAGTGTAGACATACCCTCTATAACAAATCAAACCTTATCTGTTGTCTAAAACATTTGAAACAGTTGTGAATTGTGTGTGAGCTGCCCACAACTGAGTCATTTAACTAAAATTCCAGTCTTAGTTGAGTAAGACCACATCTTGATGATCATATACAATGATAAAATGATTTAGCTAATGCCTTTGGTGCTGAATACTCCATGATTAGCAGCATGTTCAGAACATTCCTCTTCTCTAGACATGTTTTAATTAAATTTCTAAATTTACCCTTTATAAACCTCAGTTGGTAAGAGAGGCTAATTGAAACCAGTATTTCGCACCACTGTTTAAGTAAGACTGTTGAGATATTTCAGAGAGTCTGGAAAACATGCCATCCTGAGCTCTTGTATGCAGTGTAGTTGTAGCCGTAACAGTCCCAGGATATTAGAGAGACAAGGCGGGTGAGGTAATATCTTTTATTGGACCAACTTCTGTTGGCGAGCGAGAGAAGCTTTTGAGCCACACAGAGCTCAAAGTAGGTACTGAAGAAGAACTCTGTGTGGCTTGAAAGCTTCTCTCTCTCACCAACAGAAGTTGGTCCAATAAAAGATGTCATTGTCATTCTGAGCTCTTGACAGTTTTTTCCACTGACCAGCTTTTTTGCACTCTGTAATCTGCTAGCAGAAAACCACAGGGCCTGATTTTCAGAGGTGCTGAATACCCATAATTCCCATCTACTTCAACTGGAGTGATGGATGCTGAAAACACCTGCAAATCAGACAATTGGATTTTCTGTGCCACTAAGCACTACACTCTTACACTCCCGCTCTTTCCTCATAGAAAGACAGGAGAGTTTACTGTAACTTGAAATCTAGGACAACTGTATTTTAAATTCTGTGACATGCCTGTTTGCCCAAGAGCTATCCCCATCATTACCATCTCGATCTGTATCTCCTGTTCTTATATAGAGAATATATATACAGAGACTAATAGTACAGTGGAAAAACAGGACCTCTGTAAGCACAAATAGATGGTTGGTGCTTACAGCCTGCTACTGTAATTTCTGAGAGATGTTTACCTTCTACTGCAATACTGTTTCTTTTAATCCATTATGTAGGTGTATGCTTCTGTCTACAAGCAAGACCTAAATTGTCTGTTTCAAGATTCCTGTTGATTATGATGGGAGAGAATGAATTTCCTTTGTCAGTTATTTCTGAGTTCTTACTGAGTTTTCAGCCTCTTTTGTTGTTGTCGTTGTTTTAACCTCTGATTGAAACCCTTGTTTATAGCAAACTTGAGTCTGGTGGTAAGGCCTCCTGTGGAGGTCTTGTTAATC